TTGTGGGTGGAAAGCTAAGAGGTTGTTCTCAAATGCTCAAGGAAAGGTGGATGTATATGTTTCAGTCTCTGCAGCCTTGGTGATTTCCAGTCATACAATCCTCAGTTTCTGGGGAAGTATCAAAGACATACAAATTTGAATCAGATCAATGTAGAAAATATTAGGCATTTCTGATAATTAGACCTAAAGTTCAGAGCAGGACATGGAATTCAAACCTAGGGTTTTTTTTTTGTTTGTTTGTTTGTTTTTAATGTGACCAGAAAGTTGGAAATGAAAACATAGACTGTATTTCATACATTCAGTGTTTTTAGACAAATGATATAGGCCAGTCATTTGTTGGCTTAGTTGATGTTGTCTATGGTACTCATAATGTTCTCCAAATCTGTTCATGGGAATTAACAGTTGGACATGAAAAGTAAGTTCTCAAATGGATTTCTACCAAATCACCCACTTGGGATTAATTTACATGATTATGGTTGCTAAGACTTTGCTTAATTTGGCATTTTCTGTTACAATCTGTTTTGTGAGAATACTTTGTTTCACATCCTAGATTGTTCACATTGAATCCTAGCTTCTTTTTTGTTAAAAAAAATTTTGAATCAGGTGAAGGACATCCACTAAGAGATTTTGTTAAAGAAGATTCTTCTTTAGCCTTGAAAATATACATTATGTATACACATATATGTGTATTTATATGCATATATACACATGCATGAGTATATACATGCATACACACATATATACACACACATACCTACATGCATACATGAACATAGTCATTTAAAGGGGTGTTGAAAGTGAAGAGTATGAGGTTAAAAATTTAGAATTTATGGTGGTCCTGGTATTTCTATGCTAAGTTTCATATCAAAAAAAATTAAAAGGTGTTTGATATTTGTGAGTAAAATTAATCCATTGAGCATCTATTAACTGCAAAAGACTGCAAGCATTATAAATATAAAAGTAAGAAGATCTTGTCCCTACATCTTATTATCTTATTATCCTACTCAATGTTTCTTTATACATTTTCTTCCAAAAGCTGAGAGATAACTAACATAACAGAGCTGGAAATAATAATCATACCAAAAAATTTGACAAGAAAGATTATCAGGCTGAATCTAAAAAAAATGAAATTTAAAAAATACAAAGTTTAAGGCTTGGCCTTAACCAATTAATTTCACTAGTATGAGAAGGGAGGGTTGTATGACTACAGAGTTGTTGATCATAAAATATCGAAGGTTTTTAATAGACTCAATCAATATAATTTTAAAATTCTACAGGAAAGCCAAAAAAAAGACAAATGAAATCTCAAGCAGTATTAAGAAAGCCATACTATCCCTGAATAGAGATAATCACCCTGCTGTATTCTGCCCTGATCATACCATGTTTGGAATATTATTTTCAGTTCTGGATACCACATTTTATGAAAGACTTTTATATGGTAGAGAGCTATGAGAAGACCACCAGCATACAGAGTCTAAAGTTCATGCTTTTGGCAACTGGTTGAAGGTAACCAACTGATTTGAACTGAGGATGTGTAGCCTTCAAAAGAGAAGACTTAGTGGATAGATGACAGCTGTCTTCAAGTATGGTAAGAGTGTAATATGGAAGAGGGAATTGATTTGTTTCTCTTCATCCCAGAGTACAGAGCATGGAATAATAGATTGCAAAAAGGCGAATTAATCATGATGTCAGGGATAACCTTCAAACAATTAACTTTATCTAAGGTAGGATGGACTATCTCAGAAAATGGTCCATCCCACTTCACTGAAAATCTTCAAGCAAAGGCTAAAGGTGACATATTGGGTATGTAGTACAGGGAATTTTTATCAAGGTTTAAGCAGATGAGATACCCTTGAATGTTGCTTCCAACTCTTCCAATTATTTGACATGGTAAATAATTTAGCCCTGAAAAAGCAACATGCTACAATGGAAAGAGAGCAAACTTTGATATCACTGGAACTATGTCTGCATGTTGGCTGGGATACATACTATCTTTGTGACCTTGGTCAAGTTGCTTTAGCTTTTTGAGACTCAGTTTCCTTATTTTCAAATTGAGTGAGACTTGCTTTAGTTGAAATCCTTTCCACAATCTCAGCGCCTTTTCCCACAGTAATTTCCTAAAACCCTGTAGTAATGTCCTTCAATTAAATAAATATTTACATTATTATGTTTATTAATATAACTATATCATTATGCTATATTATTTACTGTTAATTTATATTATTAATACTAATTAGGATAAAATATAGGATAGTACATCCTCCTTAAACCTTATTTTTACTGTGCTTGTAATTTTTTTGACTTTCACTTCAAATGAACTTAGGGCTCCTACTGATACATATCAACCCATCTTTATTTATTATTTAATTCATGGACCTTATTCATTAGTCTGAATATGTTTGTTCTTTTCCTTGACTCTAGGCTGAAATACAAATTTCTCTGACTTGTAAAGCCCTCCTTGGTGTGTTTCTAGCCTACTTTCCAAGGCAAATATACATTACTCCCCTGACTACTCTTATGTTCCAGCCCAATTTGTGTCCTTGCTCTACCCTAAACGTGCCATTCCACTCCCTTGTTTCTTTCCTTTTGCACTAGCTTTCCTATTTCAGCAATGGGCTCTTTCCTCGTCTAGTTCTATAGAATTTCTAGCTTCCTGCAAAGATCAGTTCCAACATTGTTTTCTTTAGGAAGCCAACCCTGATCCCCTCCCCACCCCCAAAAACTGTTTTGTACTTAATTTTTGTATGCATGTGCCAATTCCCTCTAAATAAGGTAAGAACCTTGAGTATAGGAAATATTTTGTTTTCATTTTCTCAGTGCCTGACATAGAGTAGGTGCCTAATAAATGCTTAAGGAATTGAACTAAATTGAAATAACCAACCTCAACTTTGTCCTATCTTAGGTTGTCAAGGGCAGGGCCTGTGTGTATTAACTCCATGGCATTTGACACATATGAATGGATAATGGATTAATAGATGCTAGATCATGATGGCGGTCTTCATATTCCATGCTGCTTCATGGTATTGTTTATACTTTTTATGACATAACTGCTATGCAAAGGAAATGCTTGCTATGCTACAGTGAATAGGACAGTGGCTCTAGAATCAGTGTCCATGGTTTCAAATCCTGCTTCTGATACTTCTTACCTGGGTGACAAATTAACTTTCTTGGGTATCAGTTTCCTCATCTGTAAAATGGAGGAGTTGGACTAGATGGCCTTTGAGGTCTCATCAAACTCTTATGGCCATTTGTAAAACTTGTTTCAGTAAGAAGCTTAAATAAGATTTTCTGTTTAATTTGTTCTTAATGATTTAAAATACATATTTTTGTGAAGGTACCTTTCATTCAATCAATCAATCCATCAACATGTTTCTTAGCTTCTATTAAAAAGTACAATGAAAATTTAGATAGATCTTTAAAGATTACAAAGCACTATATGTGATATACATACACACATACACATATACACATATATGTCCATACATATATTTTAAAGTTCCTTTTGGTCTTAAGACAGTCCTCTAAGGTAGGTGCTACTAATGTCTGCTTTTTTTTTTAATAGATGGGAGGACTGTGACTCAGAGACATTAAGTATCTTTCCTGGGGTCACACAGCTAGCAAACATCTAAGGTATGTTTCAACACTAGGCATTTATGATTCCAGATTTAGTATTCTATCAACTCATCTATCTATTACATAGAGTTAAGTAAAATATTATTTTAAATTAGAATTATAATTCTCTACTAAAGGCGATTCCTCCAAAGTCTTAATCATGGTATAAGGATGACATTGGGGTCTCAACTGGTTTTGCTAACGCAGCACAAGCTCTTACAGTTCTTACCAATGTGGAAAGGCATCATGCATGAAACTGGTGATGGGTTCAGTGGTCCAAGGATATTAGATTTAGATTCAGAAAGACCTGAGTTCTAATCCTGCCTCAGGTACTTATCAGCTATATAACTATAGGCAACTCACATGACCTATTTCAGACTCATATTTTCTCAAGCTTAACATGTGGAAAATAATAGCATCAATCTCATTGGTTTATAAGGACCAAACAAAATAGCTTATGTATGTCACCTTGCAAAATTTAAGGACTATGTAAATATTGTTTTTGTCATTGTTATTATTATTAAGCATATGTAAAGTACTTTACAAAGACTTAAGGTGCTATATAAATATTATTATCATTACCATTGTGGTTGTTATTTCAACCTAAAAAGCAATTAAGTAAACTCAAAGAGGCTCTCCAAAAGGTGGAACAGAGCATAACATTTATTTTTTCAGATTTAGTGACTTTTGATAATATGATCTAGAAATGGAAGTAACTTCAAAGGTCATCTCATCCAACTACCTCATTTATAGATAAGGAAATTGAGGCCTAGGAAGTTATACTGACATAAAAGTAGTGTCAAATGTGGGAGTTGAATCCAGATCTTCTGACTCAAAAGTCAAAACTTTTCCCACTGTATTATCTTGCTCCCAACTGTCTTAGAGACAGTATCTTAAAACATTGAGGCCATGATCCACACTTCTGAAAGGAGTGGAATACCTTAATTGAAAAAAATACATAATCCAAGCATATTTTATTTGTACTTTCATTCATGTATTTATTTATACTTCAATGCTTCAAAAGATCTGTGATTTCATCAAAATAGGTGTTTTCTCCAACATGCAAAACACATCTCCATCCATTATTTGATCTGCTTTGGCCAATGTTGCTATCATAAGTGAAGTCAAGTCACCAAGTAGGTACAACTGTGCCTCAAACTTTAAACCATTAAGACAGTACACAAACTAGATTTTCCAAATGTAAGTGTTAATAATACAATCAATAAAACCTAGCTCAGTTAGCATTAGTTAGTATCTCAACTTTTTTATCAAGGCTTGTCATTATTTGCTCTTAATTAATCACCTGTATGCTACATAAGTCCATTGTGGTAATTTGGGTTTGTACAAATTCTTAATAAGTCAAATATAAATCAGCTGAAATAGCTTACCTGGCGGCACCATAGTTTTCGGAATATTTGTAAATAGGCCAACACCATGAGACACAAAGGTGCCATATATGTCACCAGGAAAAAGCATGTGTGGTACATCTTGGGATAAATTTCACCTGAAATTTAAAAATATATATATTAAAAGGTGAAACCTACCATGTTTTTAAATATTACTAATTCCAGTGTCTCAGAAGTGCAAAAATACTATCTTTGAGTTCTTCACAGGAAATATCATGTTGCCAAAATGGGAGAAAACTGAAATGTAGATAGATAGACAAACACACATGATATACACATATACAATATATGTGTATGTTTCTGAATATATATAATCCCATTTGGTCCTTAAAATAGTTGTATAAGGTAGATGTTCTCATTATACCTTTTTTTTTATGGGAGAATTAAGACTCAAAGACATTAAGAGACTTCCCTGGGTTCACACAGCTAGTAATTATCTAAGACAGAATTACAAATCATGTCTTTATGACTCCAGGTTTAGTATTCTATCAACTCACCTATCCATTACATACACCTTATAAAAATGCATTATTTTAAATTAGAATTACAGTTTTCCACTAAAGGTATTTTTCCAATGATGGTCTAAAGGGGACCTTGGTGACTACCTAAATAGTTGGCTTAATATGAAATGTCACAGGTTTAGAATTGCCCTAAGACTTTTGGACACCATGGATATACATATTATAGGCATTCAAAATGTAAAAACCAAATGCTATTTATTTTTCTTAGATAAAAACAATCAGCAAGTCATGAATCCCATTGATGCTGCTGCTTCTCTTCCCAAAGACAGTAGCTTATATAGCAAAGTGCATTTGCCTTGATTACATATAGTTATTAGAAGGGGAAAAAAAATCATGGTCCAAGTCTGCACTTAAAATAGGGAGTATGGCTCAGTCAGTACTTTCATTTACGAAAGCCTTTGTTTAACCTTTGGGACAAGGTGACACTCCATTACAATTACTGAATTTTGCTAATGGTGCCTTCCAGCTTAGCATATCAACCAAGACTCTTTTATTGATCTGGTGTATGATAAAGAAATGCCATATTTAACAAGGACAACCCATGTTATTAATTGTTGTTGTCTTATAATTAATAATAATTTAATTAATTAAATAATTAATTGTCTAATTAATTGTTATCTCTTTTTTTCAGTCATGTCTGACTCTTCATGACCCCATTTGGGTTTTTCTTGGCAAAGATACTACTAGAGTGATTTGCCATTTCTTCTCCAGATCATTTTATAGATGAGGAAACTGAGGCAAACAGGGTTAAGTGGCTTGCCCAGGGTTATACATCTAGTAAGTGTCTGAGTCTGGATTTGAATTCATGAAGATGAGTCTTCCTGACTCTAGGCCTGGCACTCTATCTTCTGCACAACCTAGCTGCAATGTTTTATTAATACACCCATGTTCATGTCACAGTGTTTTCCTATTAAATTTACCACTTAAAAAAGATAATAACTGATAATGTGCATGATAGCTTTTACTTATGTTTTCCCAAATTCATCTTTTTAGAATTAAATATTTCCTTGATAAATAAAAATTTCTAATAGTAATATTTGTAAATGTTGCAACTGACAATAAAGCAAAAAAAATCATTAGATGGAAATTATAACTTGGCTCCAGAATGTTTGATCTTGAATCTAAACACCAACAGCTGTATGACTTCAGTACAGTAAAGTGGGTAGAAAAATTCAATGTGGAATCAGAGGATATGAGTTTTAATCCTTGAATCTACCATTTACTACTTGTATAACCTTAGGCAAGTCATTTCACCAATCTGGCTTACAGTTTATTTATCTGTAAAAAGAGGGGCTTGAACCAATTGACCTCTGAAGTCCTTTCTAGTCCTATATCTATGATATTAAGTCACTTTATCTCTCAGGCCAGAGCCTATGTTTTCTTACTGATAAGGTGAGATAAATGTATCATAATTGTTTGTGTGTGTGATTGGGATATGTAATTCAGTGGGCAGTAAATCTTCAAACAATAAAATTTTCACAAAGTGTTAAATTATTCTCCTCAAATCCCTCCCCACCTTTTACTCTCTGTCATCCTTGGCCTTTTATAATATAGGCAATGAGAAAAATCCATTATTTGGCTGCTATTAGAGAAAAAGACTAGCACTACATTATTGATTTTTTCCCATTTTCATGAAAGAAATGCCAATATTTTTATGTTTAATTCATCTCCCATCCCTTGTCTCCAACTTTCACCTCTCTGTTTCTTTTTTTGCTTGTTTTTTTACCAGATTCTAAGATTTATTTACCTAATAATGTTTCTATCTATTTATTTCTTTGGATTTTTTTTTGTTAGTTGATTTATTTATTTATTTCTGTGTAATGATGATGGGGAGAACAGCAAACACTTTCTGGAAGACTGAGAAAGTGGTTAGAATACTTTTTTTTTATTTTAAACTCATTCTTGTATAGGTGGCAACCACCTAGTTCATCATTTCCTTGCTGGGATCCAGGCCTCTTTTAAGTTTATTCTATAAAACAGCTCAGTTTTGGAGAAAAAAAAAGCCATAGGAGTTGGGCAGCTAAGATTGAGAGCGCAGAGGCCGGGAGAAAACAGCCTTTCTCTTTGAAGTGTTACAACTTGAGAAACATTTGGTGGGCCAATTTCAAAGAACCTCTACAGTTACTGAGGCACTCCCCCAGCACCTAAGCAGCTTTCAACTTTTATATGTCTAGGGGAGGGTCATAGGTGAGCTTTTCACATAAAAATAAAGCTTTGAAGCAGATACCTCTGAAGCCCTAATGTCTATATCAGCCTTAAAAAGACTGAAAGGAAGGAGGTGGGTGTGATAAGGTTATTATGGTGGTAGCCACAAAAATGTTTATAAGAATTCAGTTATTCAACATAATGCACAGACATTTTACTCCATGGTCAAGACGATTATAAAAAAATGGAATGATGAGAATTAGATAATTGACCATTAAGTTCATTCACATGAAAGTATCTTAAAAGGGATTTATCATAATAGAAAGTGATTGCATAGGAAAAAAAATTCTACATAGCCATGTTTAGAAGGCTAGATGGAGAGTGAAGCTCCCATCTGCTATTTAAAGACCACCCTAACTAGAAAACAAGGGTAGGGAATTACAAGTTAATAAGCACATAGGTGAAGAATCTTTTTGACTGCTGTTATCAACCAATTGGAGCATGGAAATATGGACCCCATCCTATCATCCTAATGACAGTAAATAGTGGGTCTCATCTCCAATTCAACCTTACTTACTCTTTATTCATTTTTCCCTAACATTCTTCCACATCAATTCCTATTAGTAGTGACAGGCTTTCAACCATCCCTCTTCTTCACAGCCATTGGGACACCCCCAAACTCAGTTATAATCTCAATGTCAGTCTAAATCAAAATCCCCACACCCATTGGAATAGCAATTCAGGTCCCCCAACAAGCAACACCCTTCCTACCCCTTCCTGGCAGTGGCTGGTGAGAATAATGTCCCACATTGCACTTTTTCTGTTTCTCACACAATAGAGTGAATCACATAAAATGAAGGCATGTGGATGGATTGTAATGTATTCTAGATCACATACCCTACCCCATCCCCCTCTGCCAACCCATCTCTTTTCCAAAATTCCCTGTTTCTGTCTAGAGCACCATCATCCCTCCAGGCACATAGGTTTACAATCTGGGTCTCATCCTCTACATTTTCATTGTCCCAAATCCTCCAACTCCCAAACAATTGCCAAATCTTGTCATTTCAATATCCACATCATCTTTCATATCTCCCTCACCCCCTTTTCTTCACTCATATAGCCATCACCCTAGATCAGTTCTTTATCACCTCTAGCTTGGATTTTTGCAATGGTCTCATAGTTGATATCCCTTCCTTACTCTAATCCAAACTCCACATACTGCCTAAAGAAATTTTACTAAAATGCAGATGTGACCATGTTGTTGGATAATGACATTCCCTGCCTCTATGCTCTGCAGTACCCTGGCACTGTCATTTAATTACCAATGTAACATAAGTATGTTTGAGTACCGGAATCCACCCTATCACATCACTGCTAGGACTTCATTTTTTTTTCCATGTGCCCTTCAGATGAATTTAAAGTGTTACCTTCTGCCATTAAAGTAGGGGCTCCCTATGAGCAGGGAGGGGCTGTATGATATTTTTTATTTGTATCTTGCACTTAGAATAGTGATTGGCACATTATAAGTGCTGAAAAATGTATCTATTTAATAAATTGACAGTTGTCAAAAATGAAAACATTTTAAAAAAATCAGTCTTTCAATTAATATAACTTGAGTATCAACCTAGCCACAAGGTCATAAAGCAGGTGAATAATCAAAATTATAATAGCATGCTGTGTTTATTTTAAAATCAGTATAAAATATATAAATATGGTACTTCTTTGTGGTATGGATTCATGGCTTCAATGACAGAAGTCACATGTTGGGAAAGATACATTGATTTGATTTAATTCAAATAAGTAACCTTGAACAACTAAAATCTATAGTGTTCAGTAAACACCATAATGCAATGCTGAAAATATTTGCACTTTTATTTTCTGAAAACTTCTTTGTTGATGCCCAAATGTACACATTATAGATGTTCAAATATACAGTTTAGAAAGTTCACTGAAAGTTTTTAAGTTGGTAGAAGCTTAATTGAATCCTTAAAAATAATTCTGTTTCTTAGAATATTTAACTGTGCATACCCTTTGATCTGGCATGACCCACATGTACAAAAATATTTATAGCAGCTCTTTTTGTGGTGGCAAAAAATTGGAAATTGAGGAGATGCTCATCAATTTGGGAATGGTTGAACAAGTTGTGGTATGTGAATGTAATGGAATACTATTCTGCTATAAGAAATGATGAGCAGGTGGATTTCAGAAAAACTGGAAAGACTTCCTTGAACTGATGCTGAGTGAAGTGAGCAGAACCAGGAGAACACTGTACATAGCAAGAGCAACATTATGTGATGAATGACTTTAATAGACTTAGCTCTTCTCAGCAACGTAATGCTCTAAGACAATTCTAAAAGACTCCTAATGGAAAATGCTTTCTACATCTAAAGAACTATGGAGTCTGAATGCAGATTGAAGCATACTATATTCTC